TCGCGGGAAATTTTAATTCGCGGCAGGGGCGGAAGTCGATCGTCTCTCTTCGGCCCGAAAACGTGTCGGATTTTGATTAGAGAGTTACGCGATTCGAATGCTTAATGCCAGGCAGAAACGCGCTCGCGATTCGTGGAAACGGGGGAAATGCATGCGGAAACCGGGATCGGAAAACAGCGAGGCGTTTGAGACGTAGGTCACGGACCTTCGGATCGTTCGCAAACTTTGCCCGCGCTCGTCAAATACGTTCCGAGTCTGCGGCGTCTAACTTGACTAATTGGCTTCCCGCTGGAACTGAATAATAATTGAATAATGGAATATCGAGAGCGCGCGAGGAGGCAACAGTGCGAGTTACGAAATTCGCGCGTGTCTCGATGCAACTCGGGCGTGCGTTTATTTCAGCCGATCCTCCAAGATCGCCGATTCTTGCTCTTTTTCCCCCCCGTTGAAAAATCAAAGATAAAACTGGCAATCAAACGCTCTTGTACGGTGCTCGTACATCGACCAAGCGTTGCTGGGAATGATCACGGGGGAATTAAAAGAGAATAATGGTCACGAGCGTAACGAGAATCTGATTTTCCGGGGTGAAGGAAAAATCGTTGCCAATTTTCTGCGGTTACGCGCGAATGGATCGCGTAATGCTCGCTTCGACGAGCCGCCATTAACACCGTGTAATCCTGAATCGGCAATCAGCCATCGAGAACCTTGAGTCGGCCAATGATTCGACGTTTGACGGACTGGGAAAGTTTTTGGCGCAGATAGGGGTGGAAAAAGGGATCCCGGTGAATTCTGGTATCCATGGAAGAAAAATGTTCACGCTAACATGCAAGTTTCGGCAACTTTCCTTAACTGAATTTTAAGTCGACTACGGATCGTTATATTAATATTTTCCTCGCGAAATGCACTTTAAAAGTCAAATGGCTGGCGTGCATCTTCTCTGTTTACAGTGGTACATCCTGCGAGAGAACTCGCTTCCTGTTAAGTCTTTTACGTCCTGTGTATTTTTCCTGTAAAGGTGCAGCGGAGAAAAATCGACGCTATTCTTCCTCCTCGTGGAGGATACGAATCTTTAGAATTTAGGAAAGATCGTTTCTTCGATTAACCGTTATTCCCGCGTTTCGCTTAATAAAAGAATCGGCCATCAACGATAAAAGAATCTACGTCTTTCGATCATTAGTTATAGTTATTCGCCTTTCCATCAAATCTATTCAACGTTCGTAAATAAATCTTTCTTTTTCTCTGTACTTCAACTTTTCGTTTACAGCCGTTCCTAATAATAATACTATACATTCGTACCTCGTTCTTCGTTAACGGGAAATTTTCTCGGTAATAAATACGTCGTTATCATCGTTATTATAACTGAAAGAACGACGTAACGGTGGTAGAAAAATGTGCAGAGAATCGTGGCGCTTGGAAGTCAGAGTTAAAAGGTCCTGGGTGACCGATAAAATTACGCAAACGCGAAATCGAATAGGGGTGGCTGGATGGTTCTCGTGTCTCGAAAATACGACGAGGCAATTATTTTTCTTGAAACGCCAGATCCACGCACCACTCGCGTTCCCAAGCACCTGGCGCTAATATCGGCACGTGACTGCGAATAATTTTCTCCCTGTCACCGGCAAAAATATCGCGCAACGCCGCGTCACGTTCTATCGCGTGAGATATTGCCGATCATCCTGCTAGAGAGTCCGGCCATCCCTTCAATTTCCCGTGCGTCGGCCTCTTGTTCTCCGCCGGTGAACTTCGTCGTATCATGACGAACGACCGTAGCACCGGCATCACCATTTTTCTTCGACGCGAAACTACCCCGAGCTCTTTAACAAACGTCGAGTCATTGTTATCGCGCCTGGCGTACGACGTGGCCCGTCGCTTTTTCGCGATAAACCGAGGTAAAAGCCGAGACGGAACGTCGGCACACGTTCACGGCTATCCTCCCGATTCTCCGACGTCGATCGTTCGTGCTCTCGTTAACGGAAGGGAAGGAAAGTAAATAAGACGTTGGATCGAATTTACACGAAGCGGAACCGGGTAAGAGAGTACCCGCCCGGTCTGACCGTGATGTCCTATTCTACTCGCCGCGACCACCACGGCGTATCGTTTCCATCGTGATTCCAACAAATTATTTTTTCGCGCCGCTACCGCTGAGCAAACGAACGTTTAATTGACGTTCGATACGAATGATACATCGAGGGTGTCTTTCGCAGCACGTATGTACAACTTCGCGTCGATCCTCTATCTCTCTCTTTTTTTTTTTTGCGTTTGCCAAATCAAATTTTCAAATTACACGGCGGCTTAATTGACGTATAGCGCGCGAGTGACTGATTGCAATTATTTTTAATCGTGACAAATTCGAACGATAACGGAGTACGAGTATCCTTAAAAATTCAGAGAAATCGGGGGAAATAGCGAACCGGACGGTGAGAAATTTCGTTCACGAATAAGCGTCGAAATTACTATCCCCGCCGCTGTGTCGATGCCCGACGATATTAATACGGAATTCACACGTACCTGTCTCTCTTCCCAGACACAGCGCGAACATCCTCCAGCTCGAAAAGCCCCGTCCCGGCCGGATCGTTTCTGCTTTTCGTCCTCGACGCGATACCCAATCGCGGCTGCTCGTCCCCCGTCGTGGAATTCTCCTGGTTTTCCCGGTAAAATCTGCTCGTCGACTAGACGGAACCAAATGAAGCACAAAAAAACACAGCACAATCGTCGGTCGGTTGTATGTATAGGGGAAAGCCTCGTGTTACCGGCGATCACCGATCGACCGTTTCGTACGATACGTCTCCGAAGGCGTCGCGGCGCTCACTGCGGAGACTTCGCTGCGTACCCGCCCTTATAGCATCGTGTTGCGCTCACACCGTGCCCCCTCCCCTCGCCTAGCCCCTTCTCCGGCATTTCTCTCGCTCTTCACTGCGCCGTACCGCGAACCTCGTGCACCCCTCGTGCACCTCTCGTGCACCCCTCGCGCCACCCTGACCACCCACGCCGCCACCCTTCCATCCTCGAGCCCTGAACCCTCACCATTGCCACCACCCACCTTACAGGATAACGCAAGCGTTCTGGAATAAGCGTTCAAAAGACCAGCCGATGCATTCTTCGCGTATGCTCCGGAACCTCGTGCGCGAAAATCGAACGGCTTGAGAAATGAACGTGTTCGAGATGCAGTTTCGCTGATTCGAAGGGTTGGACCGGTCTGTATCGTGGTCCTTCTATTTTCCTTTCCCTTCTCGCGCCTTTCCCTTCGTTCCCGGTATATTTTCAAGCGTGTACCGAATAGGTGTGTTCCAGTTGGAATTTCGTTACCGTTGATTGACGCGATGGTTATGGTTCAGCGGATGGAGGGATTGTTAGTGGGAAAGGTGGATTCGCGTGGAGTCTAGACCGATTCTAATTTGCCCGAACCCACTGGCACTCGCGTTATCCCGCTGTAAATCACTTGGACGCGCTCCAGTGCTCGTCATACCGCGCGTGAACGTCACGCTAACCTTCTTCGATTCACTCCAACTCACGAGGACCGGTTTCAATTTGAGGGAACTTCTAGAATCCACTGGAAATCCTGTGGAACCGTTTCAATTCGTGCTAACTTTCCCACAGGGCCGCGCACACCGACCTGCACGCGGAGCCTCTATTTGGATTTCTGCTACCTCGTGGGCAGATTCACCTCGGCCCGAATTAACTGTTTTGTAATTCCGCTACTCACTCTAACTCGCATTAACTTTCTTCCCATTCATTCCGATTCAGACAAATCGGAACTCCTCTCGCGCCGGATCCACGTCTAATCTTCGAGATTACCATCGGTTTGCATTATTCATGTTAATACCGGATTTCTATAAAATTCTGGAAATTCACCTTGCGCCAACTCTCCGTTAGTCTGCGTCTAGCCTGAATCACGCTAACTTCGTATACACGGTACCCATTTCTAATTCATACTAATCTCCTACTAATCTCCCAAGATTCAGACCTCCCGTCAGGTCTCTTTCCATATATATGTATATATACATATGTATATACATATGTATATACGTACACCTCTATCTGTCCCTTTCTCCGACCTCCTACTATTCGCGTGGATGCACTCCGTTCCCGTGTCAATACATTCCAAATCCAGCTGTACTCGCGCGGATCCGCTCGAGTGCGCGGCAATCCGCCCCGACTCGCTCGGTTCCGCCTGCTCGTAAGTCTCCACGCTTGTCACGTACCTGGATAGTATATAACATCGCGTCTCTCTGACGCAGACGTATGTCCGACTGTCGGTGGTGAGCGCCCCGCATCATTAATTTATCCATCGCCGGTGCTGCTCCGGGGCAAACGGGTCGTGACATCCAGGCTCGTCAGACAACCGGCAAGCCCCGGGGATGATGCCACGAAAAAACGTTTCTCTCCGAGAGCGTCTTCGTCCACGGAGTAACCTGCCACCCTCGTTTCTCGCCTTCTTTCCAACGCACCCTGTAGCCGGCGATCGTTTCATATCCCGGACGTCGTCTTTCCACTCTTCCTATTTTCTCCCCTTACGGAGAGAGTCGAAGGAAATTTCATGGCGAAACGGGGAGCATCGTTTTAAAAGATGACGCGACTGTTGGAAGACATCGAGTGCCCCACTGACCCCCTTCTTCACCTGTTTCTCATTACCAGGCGGATGGGGAGAAAAAGCATTTCGGTAAATGGAAGCACGCGTTCTTGAAAATCGGGAAACGTGCTTGTATCCCGTGCTCCGTTTGCTTAAAAATACTTTGAAAGGGAGGAAAAGGAAAATAAAGAACGGGATCCTTGTACAGTCGAGCTTTGATAATTCGAATCCCTTTAACTCGGCAAGAAATCTACGGTAAGACGAATATTTTGTTTAAACGAAATCTCTCTAACTATCGGTTTTAGCTTTCCCCGTGAGATTCGAATTACCAAAGTTCGGCCGTATTTGGTATTTGGGACCCGTGGGTCTAATCGTTTTAGCGATAAAAGATTGGAAATTTGTTCGCGACAAATGGAATATTTTCAATTAACGTTGTATCGTTGGTGAAGGATTTCATCGATATAAAACCCGCTTCGCAAAGAGGAGCCTTTTTGTTAACCCAATGGCAATCAATTTCTTCCCAATATTCTTTTTTTCCGCTCTCGTGGGGGTGGTACGAAATTTAACGATGCTGGTAACAAAGATCTCGTTTATTCGGCAAGTACGCGAGCGCGAGCACTGAACGGAATCTACAAAATCGTTTGTTCGTATACAACTGGCACCAAGTTGCCTCGTTAAATCCTCGGCATCTGTTCCTCCGTGATACGCAACGGTTGGCCTGAAATATTTACCGAATACGCAACTCCAGACTGCGCCCGGGATAAATTTATTACGGCTAATATTCCCTCGATGCGCTTTCCCACCTACACCCTGGCAATAAAGCATCGTCGGTGACAAAAAGGCGCGAAAAGAGAGAAATAACGTATGCACGGTAAATTATCTCAACGTACGCACGATATCACCGTCGTAGCACGTAAAGTCGCGGATGCACGAGGATTTAGAAGGCACGGTCGCGATTGAATACAAAATCGTTTCGAGTAATAAAATACATCAACGCGAGATATTTTCTGGTAATCGATTAAAATGGCCAACCTGCCTATGCGCGATCAAATTCATTCGTCTTTTAAATCTCAAGGACCCATTACGTTTCCAACGTATCTCGATAAGTCGGTTAAATTCACACGGACCATCTCTACTTTTCGTCCAACCCTCGTTGTTTCGAGCTTATCGTTAGCGGCATCTGATGCAACTGACAAGGAAAAGCAATTGATAGAATGGGAAAATTTTACCTCCCCAATTTTCGTTTTACCTTTCCGAACGTGGTACCAGTACGGTGTTGGGATTTTTCTGGTTCAAGCCAGTCCAAACCCCATACGAATCGGACTACTTTATCACGTTGTCGCGAATTATTTTGCTATCTACTTCGAGTTAATCGTTATACTTAAAAATCGGTCCGATTTGTACCGTGTTTCGGCTCATTTTAAACGGAAGATTCCCAGCAATGCACTGATACCATTTTTCCAAGGGTTACACGAATGTTGGGGAAACTAAAATTTCCTGTATCACGTGATCAGTCTTCTAGTTGCGGTGCCCTATTAAAATTTGTCATCAGCTGCCCGTCGTTCCTTCTCCTATCTTCTCGAAGAATGTTCTTGTCGATTCTTAGGAAAGCTAACTACTCAGCTCGAGAGTATTCTCAACTGCTCCTGAATTTGATCGAATCTAACCAAACGCTGCTGTTTTCGTGGGGCAAAGTCGAGGCGCGCGTGATATGCAGGAACCTTTAAAAGGCTGAGTATCAAAGTGTATAATAACAGCATTACCGACTAAAACATGCATAAAAATGATGGAATAGATAAATATCTGAACGACCCAGCAACAATTCGCCGAACGTCACCACCACCATCACGCGTATACAAAAGGAAGAAGAACAAGTGATATATCGTACGCTGTTTCATCTCGTCGTAAGATCTCCGAGGAGTAAGATTCCCGCGGGGGTAACACCGATCGAGAGTCGAACGACGACGCGTAATACTTAAGGCATTCGCTCGTGATTTAAAGTTCCGTTTTAAGGGAGCGTCACACCGTTTCTCTTCCACGCTCGAGAGCACGGAAGAAACCGGAAGACTCGTGTTAACGTCGAGAAATCGTTTCGAAAAATAGCTCGTACGAGGATCGAGGAGCGAGTCTGCGAGGCGCGAAAGGTCGGGAGGAGATCGGATTGATGGAACAGTGACGAGTTTGTCCCGTTCGCAGACAGAAACTCTTCTTCTTCCCGACCTTCGCCATCGTCGCCCCGCGTTCGACTCCTCGCCACCCTATACCTCGGAATAATCTTCGATGAGTATCTGGCCGAAGTGAGTTATCACGTAATCGTGATAATACATCATTATGCAAAGTGGTTGTCCGATAATAAGACTCGCCCACACCGTGATATTGCCCCATCTGGCGCCCCAATGCTTCTCCACCTTCTTACTTATCAGTGATAATGGTATCTGGAAAATCAATTAAAAAAGTTTCTTCCGTCGGGGGAACCTGCTGCAAATTAATATTAATCCTTCGACAGTTGGATCGCTTCGGAATAGGTGATTCCTCCGCGAGCAACTTTCCAAGGATTGGGATATTCGATATCGCCGTGTCCAAGGATTTCTTTGCTCCTTTGTGCGACTGAATGTTTGACGAAGAAATTGGTTGATTAAAATTTTTTTCGACCCTTTCGGCACGGCACTGTTCAAACGAGGATCGAGCTATCCGGTAGATATAATAGACGGACATTCGAGGGACTTAATATTAAATTCTCGAGCAAGCTGCGAATAATTTCTGTCCTCTGTTCTCTTCGTTTTTCTTTTTTCTTTTTCCTTTTTCTTTTTTTTTTTTTTTTTTTTTTTATACGAGAATGAAATTTTCGAAGCTGGCGAGGGCCCGGAGCCAATGACGGGCGATTATAGTCGCCTTCCGTGTCGAAAAGATCGAACGCAGAGACCATGGGCGTAATTTGGATCGTGACAAGAATTTCGTAAGAGAAGATCATACCTGTCCCATCATTCCCAGGAACGCCCACGTTTTGAACGTCTTCAGTGGCACGCTGACGAGGTACTCGTGGAAGAAGGCGCTGATGAAGAACACGGTGACGGATGCGGTCGACTTCCCGTAGCCCATCTTTATGATGGGTATGTACAAGTGTCTGTAACCGATAGAAGGAAACACGGTTTCACGACTTGCGACGATTAACCGGGAAAAATTACGCGTCCGGCTTAATAGAAAGGATCAGTCGTGGTCTCTGCCTCGTTTCCCTCGACGATCCTCCCGCGCATAGAAATACCCGAGGGAACACGCCTTTCTAACCGTGTAGTCGTTCCTATTACTATGTTGTACCACAAACTAGCGCGAGCGGGCGTTAAAGAAAAAGAAGAGGGAAAAGAGACGTAAAAGCAGGGGGAGCGAGAAGGGTGGCGGGTACGGCGGAAGAAGGAGCGAGGAGGTAGATAAGGAGCGTCGCGTTTAAGGATCAGCGTGAGCGGAATCGTCTCGAAAAATTAAAGCAATGGCCTTGCAAGTTTGCCGGAATAGCGACACTTTGGTGTGTGCCGGTTCTTGCGGGGCGGGAGGGAAACGACACGGGGCAGCGAGGAGACAGGAAGAGATCGTTAGCCGGCTTGGTTATCAGTGGCGGTGCATTGGAACGAAGAAAGCTGGAAGGCGGCGAGAGAGGAAGAAAAAAATGGCGCAAAGAAGAGGAGCGTTGGTCGGGAGCGAAAGAAACGGAAGGAAGGAAGGAAGGAAATTCAAAGGTGGGACGCTGTCGTCGTGGACGGTTTCGTTGCCGCGAAGAAGAGATTCCTTTCCTTAAAGATCCACTCTCCTCGTTGCTCCACGAAATAGCGGAGGCCCTCTTCTCTGTTTCGTTTTTACCTTTCCCCTTCAATCTCTCTCCCTCTTTC